GCGTGAGATATATTGATGTGGTAATAAACATGACACATCACTACACACTACTACATCAATATCGCACGCATACATACTCACAAATTGTCGGTACAACAGCGGATTTTTGGAGTTTGATCTAGGATTTAGGATCCTCTTAAGACCTATTATAATCCTCTATCTAAAATTAAGGTTCAAAGTAGGAGCAAAATTTTGATCTTCACGGGATCTCACTTTTTTTTCTCATAGTTGCGTATTGTTATTTTTCAGAGCAAGAAATTCGACCGCGCTATATATTTATAATAGTGTAGCTGTGGAATCTGCTAAACGTACAAAAACTGAGACGACACTCAAGCAAATATTATTACTGAACAGTTTCTGCATGTACGTTTATATCTCTAACTTTGTCGTACGCCTTTGCCGTACGTTAGATTTTGTTTTCTATTCTGTTTCTAATTGCGACCACAAAAATTCTACTCAAAATATTAATTTCATTAAATGTACATTAAGATCTTATTTTTTTGTAAAAACACATAATTTGCATTTAACGATTAATTTATGATAATGAAACAGATTTATTCCGTAATTATTTATTTTTAATAGAAAAAACATATTTTGTAAACAGAGCATTTGATTTTGTTTAGACAAAAATCTTTGTAGAGACATGAAATGATTACAAAGGTAAACTTTCAATAAAAATACTGCAAGCATGGCTAATGAAAACGAGAAAGTCGAGGTATGCCGTTTATGTGGAGAAGAGTCTCGAAACTGTTTTTCAATATTTCAAGACAAAAATAATATTTTCAAGAAAATAAAAATATGTTTACCAATCAATGTAAGTTTAAAAGATGTATGATATTCTTTGACACATTTAAACTATTAACCTTGCATTTATATTACAAAATATATATAAATAATATTATATTCTTTGCGTTTATAGATTTCTTCGGATGATAAATTGCCTTCCAATGTATGCAGACGTTGCTCACGTCGTTTAAGAAAGAGTTATAAACTGCGTTGTACAGCAGTTGAGGTAGATAAACGTCTGCGAATGCAATTATATCAAAAGCAGAGCGATGATGTCTATACAAATAAAGATACAAATAACTTTTCAGAGAACTTTCTAAATATTAAACAAGAGATTATAGACGAGCAGAACGTTCTGCATGATCAAAATGATACACAAGAGGTAAGAGATAAAATGAATATTCATAATAATTGGAAAACAAATCGAGAGAATATTGATGAAATTAAATACGAAAAGGAAACTGTTAATTCAACTGAAGATAACGAACCTGAAATTGATATTGTTGAAATGAAATATGAAGATGTGATGGAAGCCTCGATAGAACAAATTGATAACAACTCTGACTTTGTTAAAAATAAAACTGCAAACAACTGTCAAAGATTTTTGGAACATCAAACACTCGAACAAAATGAACAATCGCAGCATATACAAAATGAACATAAAAAGAAGTATGAGTGTAATCAGTGTGGAAAATGTTTTAAGTAAGAATGCTTCAGAGTATCAATTAATAGTAACTTTAATACACATATAACACAATACACATATAACACAATATTGTAATAAAATCGTAATAATGCAATATATTTTTAAAATTTTTTTCTTTTTGTTTATTTCTATTTAATGTCTTTTAGTTTGCACAACTCGAGATCGAGACATGTACAACGTAAACATAGAAATATAAAGTGTGATCAGTGTGGAAAATGTTTCAGGTAAAAATGCTTCAGTATAAATTAACAGTAACTTTAACATAATATCGTAATAACATCGTAACAGCACACG